GACCAGGCTCAGCCCTGCTTAGCTTCAGTGGGCAACCAGTCTTGGGCTACAGGGTGATATGGCTGCCGGCCATATCAGAGCAAAAACCAAGCCCTGAGGTAAAAAGAACTACCTGTAGAGCTCAGAAACAGGTTTGCGTCAAGCCACACATCTGTGGAAGAGTTCAGAAAGAATTCTGCTTCATTAAACGTTCACAGAATCATGTAGCCTTCATTATCCATAATGGAAGACGTTTGGAACAACCTGGACTCTTCCTAGAGCTGGCCTCCTGGCCAAACTGAGCAACTGATGGAGAAGGGCTTTGGTTGGAGTGGTGAACAAGAACCTGATGGTCACTCTAGTTGAGCTCCATGATCATATATGCAGATGGGGAAACCTACAGAAGGACAAACATCACTGCAACACTCCACTGATCTGTGCTTCATGCTGGTGTGGCAAGACTCAATCCTCTCCTCAGTGAAGACACATGAAAACACATTTGGAATTTGCAAAAAAAGCACCTGACAACTCTGTGAATGTCCTTGAGTGGCCCAGCCAGAGCCTGGCCTGGAACCCAATCAAATATTTGTGGAGAAACCTGAAAATGTGCGTCTGCCCCCATCCAACCTGACAGAGCTTGAGAGGTGAAGAGGCGAGGAGAAGAATGACAGATAATTGCCAAATGCTGATGTGCAAAGCTTATTGCATCATACCCAAAAAGACTTGAGGCTGTAAAGGTGCTTCAGCAAAGTAATGAGTTGAATACTTATGCAATGTACTTATTTCAGTTTTTTTATTTTATAATAAATTTACAAAGTTGTGACAGTTCTGTTTTTGCTTTGTCATTATGGTGTATGGAGAGTAGATTGATGTGAGAAAAAAAAGGTATGAGAATACTTTCGCAAGGCACTATATATATGTGTGTGTGTGTGTGTGTGTGTGTGTGTGTGTGTAATATATATGTATACACACACACACACACACACACACATATAAGATAGTAAAGACGTTTATGGTAATGTAACAAGATTCCTATTTCAAATAAATCCTGACCCTTCAAACTTTATCAAAAAATCCTGAAAAAAGTAGGACATTTTTCCACAAAAATATTATGTAGTGCAACTGTTTTTAACATTGATTGTAATAAGAAATTGTTTCTTAAGTATCAAATCCGCATACTAGAATGATTTCTGAAGATCAGAGTAATGGCTGCTAAAAATTCTTTGCCATCACAGAAATAAATTACATTTTAAAATATATTAAAATAGAAAAGAGGGTTTTAATCGTAATATTGCACAATATTACTGTTTTTACTTTATTTTTGATCAAATAAATAGCCATGGTGAGCATAAGATACTTCTTTCAAATTTTTTTTCTTTAAAAATCTCAGTGATCCCAAACCTTTGAATGGTAGTGTACATTTTTGTGCTGCTGAAAGTTCGGGGTTTGTCATCACAGGAATAAATTAAATTTTAAAATGTATTAAAATTGATAAGTTATTTAAAATTTTAATGATAATTAGTTTTTTTTTTTTATTTTGTTTAGTTTTTTTTTTAATTAATCAAATAAATGCAGCCTTAGTAGGCATAAGAGACTTCCGTCAAGAACTTTTAAAAATATTACCCACCACAAACTGTTGAACAGTAGTCAGTGTCATCAGCTTTGTCCATAGAAATCAATGTATTTAAATTAGAGCGCTGTGTTCCAGCTTTTGCTCCAAAGAGTTTGATGCTTTGAGGTACATTTCTGTGAGTCATGTGAAAGGGTCTTTACGTCAATTATTTATAATGTATAATCATTTGTTTATGTCCACATAATCTCTTTCTTCCCCACTAGAATATGTTGAGGAGACAAGAGGAGATGGAGAACGGAACGGCGTGGTCAAACTCTTCCGAATCCTCTGACGATTCCTCTAGTCCTCAGCTTTCCTTGGGAATGCGCCATGCACACAAGAACTTAGTACAGCCTGAGGTACAAACTGCTCCTCCTGCCATTGAAATCTCATTTGCACCCCGCGAATCGACGACCTCTACTCCCACCCGCCTGGCCAATCAGAAAGAAGAGGATGAGGAGGAGGAAGAAGAGGAGGATCTGAAGAAACCAACAGCCACCATAACAGTCACCACCGAGGCTCCTGTGAAACAGGAAGTGCCCAATGGCCATCCCCGCTATTCTCGCTCCCTTAGCCACATCAGCGAGAACAGCGCAGATGGTGTTTTGACAGATAGACTGGGTGGGGAATCCTTGGAGGCCCATGAAGTGACTTCAGTGGTCTCTTCGGTATTTGTAAGTGACATTGCCATGGATATGCCCCTCCGAGCGGAACCGTGTTTTGTAGTACCAGACACTCAGGAGACCTGCCCCATTCCTGATCCCTCCACGAGTGAGCCATCCTGTCCCGCTGAGCCACTGAACTGTTCAAAAAGTAGCTCTCCTGCTTGTGACTCTGAAAAAGCTACAGAGCCCACGTCTAGGCCCACCTGTGGAGACAAAGACTCTTTCCCCAATGCTAATGCTTTGTTACAGCAGATGGACTCCGAGGATCCTAGGACTGATTCCTCTCATGAGCCACACCTCACAAAGACACAAACAGATGACCTGCTGGCAGAGAAGTCTGGTTCTTTAGTAGACACCAGACCCATGGGTGATTTGGAGGGACAATCAGCAGACAGCGGTTTGCAGGAGGCCCTTGGTGCTGTTTTGTCCTCCCTTGATGACTACAGAGGCCAGTTCCCAGAACTACAGGTCCTAGAGCAAGAGCTGAAGCTGTTGGAGGAGGCACTAACAGTGAGTGCTCAACCTTATTGTTGTGGGTTAGGGTTGGTAAAATTGCATTTTTTTTTGGTCCGGATCTGTTATTTTATTCATGAATACAAAAAAAATGCAATTCAAGCAATTTCAAAACTGTTCTTCTTTGAAGAGCATGTTTTGTATTTCTGTATTAAAAATGTTTTTCAAATGTCAGGGTGATAAAATGTCCTGGAAGAAAAACCTTCTGAAATTCTTGAAAAGAAAACTGTATTAAATAGTTGGGCATAGTCATTTATTATTACTACTTAAAAAGATGTTCTTACCAAAACTACTCAATATTTGAAACTGCTACTTAATATTTGAAAGAAAAAATTGTCTACCAAGTCATGTGGTGACACCGTCATGCGATGCAACCAACATACAGAAAAAACATCCTCAAAAAATAATTTAAAACATATTAGAAATAATTAGAAATATATATTATAAATATGTATTTATGTAAGAAATTTTGGTGACGTGTTTCTAAAATAATTAAATTATTATCCTTAAAGAATTTTTCAGAGGTGTGAATCATAAATCATAAGTCTTAATTTTGAAAAAGTTATCCTGATGTGTAGACTCAAGATGTATTTAAGTTGTGTGGAAAATGTTATTACTTTTTACACCACATGACATTTTTATGATTTAAATTTGACCCATTTGTTGTGTCAGTATATGCACCATTACTTTCAAATTAAGTTAGATATCTAGATCACCATCTTTGATCAACATTTCAAAACTTTTATGAGTTGGAGAAGGTCAAAGAGGTTGAAAGTGAAGAAAATGCAGCATTAAACTCTCTCCTTTCCAGCATGCAGTTGAGGGTTCACAGATTTAGGGTGTAACACTTCCTGGCTGCCTTAGATTCTCGATGTTTTGGTCGCAGAAGCCTTTGGTTATTGCTCGAATCCAAGCCCCACGATAACCATCAAAGTCTCAGATCCGGGTTTGGGTCCAGAAACTTTGGTCTTCATCAGTGGGACAATAGAGTTAATCAAAGACATGACCTTTGCTTTCACTATTAACCGCTTCATCTTGTGTCTACAGAGAGGTTTTCCCGGCACAACTTAGCTTAGTCATAGAATAAACACAATGTGTCTTTTCCAGAATTGGATTTATTAATGTTCCAGGTTATATAATTTAATTGTCTACTGACAGTGTCTGTGTCATGTTGTGGATTAACAGATATAATTGTTCCTCTATTTGTAAAAACAAACACTGCTTTTGCAGTATTGCATTTTCCTTAGAAGTGTTTTGTTTAATGTATTCACGAGAGTTTAATATCAGAAATGTGCATATTTGATGAAAGATTAGACTTAACTTGCCCAGACAAGGTTAGTTAACTATTCTGTCACAAAAGCCTCATGTTTACAATCTTTTGACTACTTCTGTGCATTTTGACACATATTCTGAGGTGAAGTCTTGCCCCAATATACACTGGAAATGCTTTACTGTAAATGTGATTTTTGCTTGTTTTTACAAGTCAAAAATGTTTTATGAGGTAATTGACATTATCTTGTAAACAACTAATACTTGAACATTAACTTTAAGCCTTAAATTCTGGGGTTTCTTTTAGCTAATAGTTTAAATGTAATTTGTAATAACTTTTTGATACATTATATACTTTAAAATCAAGAGTTTTTCATTTGTAATTTTGCAAATGTGTGCATCTGCAGGTACGGAGTCGTAGTCGCTCATCCAGTGTCAGTTTGACGGTTGAGACGGCTCTAGGGAGCTTTGACTTCCTTAATACATCAGACCCGGAGGAAGAGGAGGAGGATGGCGAGAGGCAGAGCGTGACAGACAGGTCAGAACTCGAGAAATGTTTCATCTTTCTGCTGTCAAATGATATTTTATAGCACAAAAAGAAATTAAGGTTGCTTCATCAAAATGCATTGCTTCTATAATGTTATGTTACACTACTGCCACCTAGTGACTTGAAGGAGAACCGTTAGTTTGAGTGACTGATTTCACAACTTTATCTATTCAATCCCAGCTCTACTTTTTTTCTGAATATATTGTGTTGTCATTTTCTGGCTTGTGTTTGTTCTCATGTGTGTTGTGATGGATACAGCGCAGAGGAGCGGCCAGCGGCTGTGGAAAGCGCAGGAGAGGATGAGGGCTGTGAAGCCCGATGTTGGGATACTCCCTCCGGTCCTTTTAGCACAGGCTGCCCGACTCTAGATCACACCCTGCTGGTTCATCTGAAGAACTGCAGCTCACAGCTGCTGGTCAGTTACTGTACTCTTATAGTACTAGATATGGACATTAAGTCCCATATACAGGGGGAACAACTTGAAATACTGAGAATGTGTGCAGAATTCAGTTCATTTTTCTATGGCATTGAATATACGTGTAAATACATAATCCCCCAGTTTCACACACAAGATTTAAGGCTAGTCCCAGACTAAAATGCATGTTTGAACTCTCAGCTGAAAATATCTTGCTCTGACATATCTTAAAATATGTCAGTGCCATTGTTCTGTCTCAAGATGCACACCTGTAACGTTTTCTTGCAAGGCATTTTTATGAAAGCTTAAATATCTTAATTTAACTAAGGCCTAGTCTTGGCTGCCCCATCTGTGATACCAGGCCTATAACTAACAAGTTTTAAGCAAAAAAAAAATGTTAAAACTTGACGTGATCTTGAATAAATAAAAAAAATGATGTCTAAAATTATAAGGTATGTCCAAAAAAGTATAATTGTCTAAAAGTTAAACTTGAGTGTTTATAAATATATATCTATATGTGTTTAATTAGGATTAATTAATATATGTTGAATTAGAAAATGGTTATTTTAAATTGTAACAAATTGTTTTTGCTGTATTTTTGATCAAATTAATGCAGCCTTGGTGAGCATAAACTTTTCGTACTTTCATACTATAACTTTTTTTTTTTTTTTTACATCGTGGACAGTTTTATTATTGTTTTAAGCATAAATATGTATGTATATATTTTACGTTGGTACTGTTTTTCAAATGGAGATCACAAACAGGATACAGACTATTTTCCTTCCAGAGTGTTCATTTTTAATGGCAAGAAAACAGAATTCTGTTATTTTTTTCTGTTGCCTTCAACATAAGTGTAAATACATTTCAACCAACAGAAGTCTGAGCATCTGTATTCATACTCTGTGTTTTGTTTTTATGAACAGAGGTTAGGCACATTTGGGCCTCTGCGCTGTGGGGAGATGTATGCTCTGGACCGACTTCTCAGGGAGGCCAGAGTCCTCGAGCTCATACGATGGGTTGTGAAGGACTCGAGGGGCGAAGTCATCCAACCAGAGGAAGGTGAGTCTCAAACTGTTATAATGCTTTAGTTTTGTTGACTTTGCATCAGTCTCTGTGGTGTTTTAGTTGTATCTTACCTGTGCACTCATTTCTTTGCAAATGCTCATCTTTGCAAATGCAATGTTTTTAATGCACCACAGGCCTTACATTCTACAACAGAATGTTACTTCATAGATTTTTTCCTCACAACCTTCTCTATTTCCCACATTCTCTTTGCATGTCGGAGCAGTTGTTCCTCAGTTAGATCAGTGCCAAGGGGCTGTGTTGCTGTGGAGGCAGTGCACGGATGGCTGCAGTGTCTACAGCACCTCCACAGAGGCCTTCTTACAGGCACTCAGCAACACTTACGCCAGCAGACTCCCTGAGAGAGGAGCCGGATTCACAGACACAGGTATGTGTGTGTGTTGTGTATTAATGCATGAACAAGCACTGTAAATGAGTTATTGGGAGATGGGTTTCTAAATTGAAATTGCTGTACAATCCTTTAATCAACATAAATTACAACCTTAACTTCCTGTATTTCATCTCCGGGAAGGATTTAATATCCCGCTAATCATTGTTTCTGATGACACCGGGTGTAATTAAAAGTGTGTACATTTCAGTAGACTAAATCAAATTTTCTTTGACTCTCTGTAATTAAAAGTGTGTACATTTCAATAGACTAAATCAAATTTTCTTTGACTCTCTGTGACACTGAACTTGTGTGTGTGTGTCTGTGTGTGTGCGTGAATGACTTGGACACACACATTCCTGAGCTGGCTGAAGAAGGTATGTTTGAGTGTCATAAAAAGGGCTGTTCACATGGACAGCAGTTTGCAGTGACAAACAGATTGGAAGTTGTGCGTCCACTTCATAACATCATATTTTTGTCTTGTTTTCCAATAAAGGACTAATTAAATTGATCAAAAAGTGATAGTAAATAGATGCCATTTTTAACTTTCTATATATCAAAGAATCCTGGAATAATAATAAGACAAAATGTTTCTTGTGCACCAAAACAGCATGTTAGAATGAATTCTGAAAGATCATGTGATCATGGCTGCTGTAGATATATTAAAATGGAAAACAATTATTTTAATTTGTAATAATATTCTGCAGTATTATTGTTTTAACTGTATTTTAGAACAAATAAATGCATCCTCGGTGAGCAGAAGAGACTTATTTTAAAAATACAAAAAAATCTTACCAACCCGAAATTTTTAAGCAGTAGATTTATTTATTTTTAGCCCATAGAGAGTTTTATTATTGCCGTAAGCATAAATCTAAATATATACTTTTAAGTGGATCCTTACAACAATAAAACACTGATTATCAAACGCATTCTTGCCACCGGTGTTCATTTTTAGTGGCCAGAAAATGTTTAGTGTTTTGTTTTCAAAATAGTGTGACATCTTATTTTTTTACCTGCATTATATCCCATGTATTCATGATCGTATTTTAAGAACGAGTTCAGTAGCAAAAATAGCTACTTTGACCAACAATGCAGCCACCTCCTGTGCTAAAATTGCTTTCATTGTAACAAGATTTGAGTTTGATGCTTGATGCTTGACAGAGAATACCATCCGAAATGTGATTTGAATGCAAAATCCAGTTTACATTGAAAGTTTTCCACGTCTTTAGAAATTGAGAACTCGCACTGAAAATGAACAATGTCTGGCCGTTGCAGATTGTTTTAAGTTTGAATGCCCCCTAAGTGTTAATGGACTATACTCGTCTATCCTCAAACATTCATTAGCAAGAGTGATTGTGTTACAAATCTTTAGAATCAAGCCCTCCCGTCCCAAACGCCCCAATTCCACTTCTCAGTCGTTGTGGTTTCTTGGTGCATCTTTCCATTCCTCCCCCACCTAATGTTCTCTCAGCAGTGTATCAGTTTCATCCATGTCTCTCTTTCGTTCTCCTTCTCCTGCAGTGTGGCTAGTTCAGTGCCTGCATTCTGGAGATCAGGATGTTGTGGTAAAATCTTTGAAGAAGCCTCCAGAGTGCAGTCTGAAGAGGGAGGGCTTGCATGCAGTCAGTCTGCTGCTGAGGGATCCGAGGGGGAAAGTGTGCAGTGCAGCCAGCTCCCTGCTGCGGAGTCTAGCTGACCAAACCCGTCACAGGGAGAGGGTGAGATATGTGCAAACTCTACAAACTCCTGTTTGTACTCTTGGAGGTGACAGTTTCAGCAGATTTGCTGCATATAATAGTAAAGTATAGACACCAATATAGGCAAAATACTTTTCTACAACAGTAACAACTTTAAGTATGAGATCACATGGTGTTTAAGATCATGAGAAACATTAGACATCTGTAAAATGTGTCCAGCGTTTTTCACTTTAAATGCTTAAACAGTTTAAATTTTCCATATTTTGACCTGTCATCTAATGCTAAGGTTATTTTTTTATTAATTTTCCTTACTTGAAATAAAATAAACATTAACTTAAATAAAATAAAATATAAAAAAACGTTTATTTTTAGTTAAATTTGAAGTACTAAATAACTACAACAAAATAACATTTAAATAAACAAAAGCACTAGACATATTTAAAATAAAAATGAATACGATTATTATTACAAAATACACAAAAAAAATTACTAAAACTTTACAATTAAAATAAAAACAGATCAAATAAAAATAATGCTAAATATTAACAAGAACTATAATAGTATATCAATAAAACTAAAATAACACTAACACTTAAAGTCAATCTTTAAAAATAATAAACTAATAATTTCTCGTTTTTAGTTTTACATTTTATTTGGAATGTATTTAGGCAAAATAGTATAGAATTTTAATACTGACTATTTATCTGTTATCTGCCATCAGCCATAACATGAAAATGATTTTGACCTGGACAGGTTTTTCTTTTTCTTGAAAATACTACGTAATGTTATCGCATTGGACTAAATATGACTAATTTTGCTCACACAGGATATAACAACTTCCCCCTCAAAAATGATAATTGATCGTTTTTACCTTTTCCCATCTTTTTACACTTGTCAAAAAATGACCTGCCTACAAAAAATTGCTTATAAATATCTTATGTGGAATTATTACAAAAAATTGGATTCATATTCAATAATGCTTTTTTCACTCAAAAACTGAGGTGCATCAGCTGTGTTCAATAAGTTCCAAAACGAAATACAAAACATGTGCTAATTAGAGATGTACAAGCAATTATTCAAAGGCCGGTTATTTTTCACAGAAAACACCAAATTAGGTAAAGGAATTATTATGCACATCGCAAGGGTTAAAGGGATAGTTCACCCAAAAATGAAAATTTGATGTTTATCTGATGGTCCATTTGAGAGATAGGTGGCGGTAATGCACTTATAAGTCTGCGATCCGCCATAAAGCAAGAAGAAGAAGAAGAAGACGCCTCACGCACCTGCTGTTGAGAACGCGCTCAGGAGGACGCGCCGCCGCTCAGGACAGTTCGAACAGTTCGCACATTGCATGAATCAGAGGTAAAAAACTATATAAATACTGTTCAGTTTCTTGCACAGACCGATCGTTTTGTGTCTTTACACATCAATGTATCGTCACGAGCCGCAGGGTTTAATTTGGTTTTGTTTGTGTATGGTTTTTTTTTACTCTCAAAGCCGTGATTCCCATTCACCTCCATTATACGACTGACAGACTGCAACGGTTTGTGTTAAAAATCTTTGTTTCTGTTCTACTGAAGAAACAAAGTCACCTACATCTTGGATGCCCTGGGGGTAAGCAGATAAACATCAAATTTTCATTTTTGGGTGAACTATCCCTTTAATATTGGCGCATCCCTAATCGTGACTATTAAGTGCAAAGTGAAGTTGTAATGCTTTGTTATTCAGAAAGGATTTTGATTTGATCCACTCAGTGTCTCTCATTACTGTTCTGTCTCAGGCGCTGGTGAGCTGTCTAGAGTTGCTGGAGGATGAAAGTGTTGAGACGCGGGTGTGTGGATGTAAAGCACTCGCATGTCTGAAGGTCAGTTCATGCATGTATAAACATCTCTCCGCAATAACCCAGCACCACTCAATCAACATTTATTTTTTCCCACACTGTGTATATATATATATATACACGTATATATGCTTGCATAACATCAAGAGCCTGGTGGTTAGATGTGCTCTAGTAATCTGAGTGGGAATCAGATTGTATGCAGCATCACACCTCAGTGTTGGTGGAGGATTGTAAGTAAAGTGCCCTGATGTCTGTGTTTGTGCATCACAGGCCAAAGAGAGCATCGAGCAGCTGGTGTATCTGTGCCGGACAGATAAGGAGGATGTGAGGGATGCTGCCAAACAAGCTCTGCTTGTGCTAGGTAAGCAGTGGACTAAACAACAGGAAATGGACCCATGAAGGAAAGATCGGTAATGAAAGTGAAAGAATGGATCTGCTGCAAATTAGAGCTGCACGATTAATCGTTAAAAGATCGCAATCTCGATTCAGACAACCACACGATCTCATTTCTAAATGACAGCGATTCTCCCGTGTCTATTAAACCTTTGACAAAGTCTTACCGGATCATTCAAATCTGTGTTCGCACTGCCGCTGACACACAGAGAGCAGTTACCATGTTTGGTTAAGAAACAGCTTCACAAACAGTCTTTTCAACTACACAGTATTATTTCTGTCGTACAGTCATTCATATTATCACAGAAATACTGGGATGAAAGTTTATAATTCAGATATAAACAATGATGTCTATGGTAGCGACCAAAATAGAGCAAATCCGCGTTTGAAAGTAACTGCCACATAACATTTGTGTCGATTGCATTGTTTCGCCACTAGGTGGCGAAAAGTGACTTAAAAAATATATAATTGAATGAATCATTTATTCAAGAGAATCGTTCAAAAACGCTGATTCATCCAGTAGGTTTATGAGTGAGTCGTTGAATCATTGATTCAAACAACTTTTTCATAATTTTAATATTAAATTGATGTATTAAATATATTATATTTTAAATACATATACACTACCAGTCAAAAGTTTTTGAACCATAATATTTTTAATGTTTTTTTTTTAAGAAGTCTCTTCTGCTCACCAAGCCTGCATTTATTTGATCCAAAGTACAGCAAAAACAGTAAAATTTTGAAATATTTTTACTATTTAAAATAACTTTCTATTTGAATATATTTTAAAATGTAATTTATTCCTGTGATTTCAAAGCACCATTTATCTGAAATAGAAATCTTTTGTAACATTATAAATGTCTTTATCATCACTTTTGATAAATTTAAAGGATCTTTTCTTATCCTTGCTAAATAAAAGTATTAATTTATATAATCTATAATATAATATATAATCCCCCCCCAAAAAATACTGACTCCAAGCTTTTTGAAAAGTTCGTTTATTTCAGTAATTCAACTCAAATTGTGAAACTCGTGTATTAAATAAATTCAATGCACACAGACTGA